ATTTATCCTATACACAGCTAACTTAGACAATATTTATCCAATACACAGCTAACTTAGACAATATTTATCCAATACACAGCTAACTTAGACAATATTTATCCAATACACAGCTAACTTAGACAATATTTATCCAAGACGCAAGAAATCTACTCTTCTATTATCATTATTTTCGCATACCCGGCGGTTTTCTAGTTCTAAAAAAGACAAAGATTCTCTCTTTTACATTAGTCAACTATTTATATAGGCTATTTGGTTGTCGTAGTTTGGTTCGTCGCAAGCCTGTTAATCTTCTTTTAGCCTCTTTGATGACAGGGTAGTCCTAGAAAGTGTTTCGTCTATAGTCACCTCGTTTGACATATTCACTGAAATCATAATCAAGAAACTGATTCAATTTATCTTGGAATTTGGCGTCAAAGGCCTTCATCACTCATTAGACTATAATACAAAGGGAATACTTTTATGTTAATAGAGGTCTTAGGAGAGAGCCAATAAACCGCCTTTTATCAGATATAAACTTTATTGTTCATAAAGGAAAAGTGGACTGCCCAGTTGACAATGTTGTTTATGTAGGAAGAAAAAAAAATAGCCTTATTCACCATGTTGCTATTTTATAAGAAAAAAAAGTGGCTTGCACAATTTCAATTGCATTTTATCTAAAATGAGAAGAAGACTGGTTCACCATGTTTTTCTTCTACAATGAGAAAATGTAGACTACCCCTATAATGATTTTGTTTGTTTAAGGCTGGAAAGGGACTATCCAGCCTAACTTATTGGTGTAATAAACACGGTTGAAAGGCTAGGTAACACCTGTCTATTCCTGACTTTTTCTAACATAAATCAAGTTTACATAAAATGTTTACTATAAACTAAGGGGTGTTTGTTTGTCCTTTAACTTTTATATTTGAACCTGTCAAATCTGGTTTAATCAACTAGGAACGATTCGGTATGTGTCAAGAAATTCTTTTAAAATACATAGATTTTCATTGCTCCAGTGATGGCTAAATATAATTCAGTCAGTGGGGGTGAGTTCTAGGGTTACTGATGGGATTTCTCCAGTTTCCTCTTTCGTTACATAGGGCATACATACAGTCTATGTAGTTTCAATCATTACAAGTATACATAGGATACAAATATACTATTTATATTCATAACTGGTAAAACACTAATTCTACAATTGTATTTCGTTTTCAAATTCCATCAATTATTGTTTATACACACTTTCAAGATAGACACACTTATATTAGGAGAGATGTTTTTAAGTCACATGTTACTCATTGCTTTTTCATAAAAAACGAAAATAGAAAGTAAAATGTTATTTAAAAAGCAAGCCAAGGAAACATGAAAAATCTTATTCTCTCGTACTTTATACTGCCACTGAAAAAAAAACATCCTTCATAAACCTGTCTACGGATTTACAACGCTAAAATCGGGGCTTCGATTCCCCTCGGTGGACACAGCAGATAGCCTGATGTGGCTTTCCTATAAGAAAACACATACACTTTCATAAACCTCTCATCGTGTATCGCACGGGTACAATCTGCTAGTTCAAATTAATTACATCACATTGGTCGATACAGTTTAAAAAATTACCCAACATTTATCTATCTATAAGCCGGTTTTATGGAAATGTGTAAGATTAATTTTTATTCAGCAATATACAGAAAGTTTTATAGTAAATGACTCACTACTCTCCATGATACATATACCTAAAGAGAACTTGTGATGAATCCAAAACGAACCATATGTATTACACTAATGTATAAAATACAAATCATTTACTTAGTTACGAAAATGAATATACAAATTAATAAAAAAGTTAATGCAGCGGTAATAAGAATTGAAACTGTATAATTCCAAGTATTCGTTTAACAAGAAAACAAGTCAGGCGTGATTTAATAGTTAGTGTGTCGGTCTACGAATCAGAAAGTTCAAGGTCTGAGCCGCGATGTTACTGAACACACTCCACACTAACAACTGTGGGTGTGTTATAAGTGTGTCAGTCATACAGTCTCGTTATTCCATTCACGACTCTTGTGGAGGAGAAACTAATGACAGGCTGCCTTCCTTCTGGTCAGTAGTTCAAAATTAGAGACGGCTATACCTGAAACTTATTAATCTCTGTGACATGGTTGTTTAGCCCATGAGCCCAATACAAACAAGAAAATCACTGTAAAGCTTTCGAGCGGATTGCAACAAAATTTACAACCTTAATATTAAAATGTAGGCATACAACATAGTGTGGTAAAAAAACAAACGAAAAAAACTCGCTTATACATGACGTTTAGGTCTGAAGCTTTCATTAAAAACAGACAATGTGGGGCAAATGTGACCAAAGAAACTCACTGCCATCTGTGTAATTATATACATCATTAGTAAAGAATTTTCTTCTGTATCCATGCAATATTTGTAAACCTTAGTATCAGCAGTCTATTCACAGTATACCACTTTCTAGTGATACGGCCGATACGGCGTGTTTTAAAAAGCGTCCTCAGCAAAATTAGCAAGTTGTTCTGATACTAGTTGTCCTCGTTTTTCTTACTATAAAAAATAGTAAAACAAAGTAATACTCAGCTATTAAATATTGCTGGCGTACTTGCATCCAGGGTATCTTTCAAATATATTTGTAAACAAACACCTTGGATAAAATTGATGTTTTGAAGTAATGAATTTGAGTTCAAAGAAGAGGAAATTAAACTTTTAAAGAGATAACTTATCTTTACCACAAATAATAAAGCAGATGAAATTTTACTTATGGTTTTATATATGTGTGCTTTTATTTATTTATTTTAAGTCAACAACAGTAGAGTTTTTAAAATAGTTTAAACATTTTAATCTTGTTTAATCATATATATGTATATATATATAAAAGACTCGGGCATAAATTCCAGTAACTCGTATTGGAGCATAACAGACGATAATATTTAACTGCTGGTATTATAAAAGCCTAATTACCCTGAAAATAATTTCATTCTTGCAAGATGAAGCTCATACTTTTTTATGTTTTATGCGTAACTGTTTGTTTCAGCATTTTTCGCAAACTAGACAACTAATTTTGAATTGACAGCCTATAGAGAAAGAAGCCAGTTAAAAGCACCCATCACCAATCGTAACTATTGGCAGTCACTCTTATAGCACACCCACGGCCCAAAAGTGCGCAACGCGTTTTTGTGGCACAAGACGCACACCATAAATCTTCAGTTCACAGTCCGAGCATGCTAGCCACTAGGCCACGCCCAGCAAAGTAAAATTAATAATCTGTTGGAAAACATAATTATCTATCAAGGAACCCAAATGTTGTTTTAATTAGACACTTATAAAAAATAGCGTAATTTCGATTATAAATAACAAATGCCTTACAAAGAATATATGTTTGATAAAATTAGAATGAAAATAATCTAAGTGGCCGTATTTTTCAAATGTTTAAATGTGGTTTCTTGTATGAATATAAATGAAACCATGCTTACTCACCGACAACTTTCCCCCGTCGTATTGATAGTCGTGTCTCTGGGTGATGACAGTTCGGGTAGTAGCCTGAGAACCTGGGTCAGGATCGTATCTTTGCGTGGTAATATTGTGCATATTAGCCTGAGAAACTGGATCATGGTCGTATCTCTGGGTGGTAATCTGAGAACCTGGTTCAAAGTCGTTTCTCTTTGTAGTTACAGTATGGGTGACAGTCTGAGAACCTGGGCGAAAGTCGTATCTCTGGGTGGTTACGGTGTGAGTACTGGTTTGAGAAGGTGGACTGAGGGGCATGTTCACTGACGCGTATAAACTGCTACCACTTTTTGTAGTGACCGTCTGATAAGTTGGATTGTTGTTATTCAAGTTCTCAGAAGCGGTCTGTAGATCCGCCAACAAAGCATCTGCAAACAAACAACAACTTGTTGTGATTTATTAAGGAATTTTAATTAAAACATTTCTGCATTGAGCATCTAATTGTATGAAAGTATAGAATTCAATTATGTCTGTCTGCATCTTTCTGTGCTAAAACGAAGAGCACCACCATAAAGAAAAGAGTTTCATATTTCGACTGGTGTCAACCTCATAAGTTTTACAGGAGTTAATAGGTAGTCATCCTTAATCTCAATCTACACGGTACAGACTTTACCTTCACCCTACTGATGTATCTGTCTTTCATGTGTTACCAGTAAAAGTTCAAGTAATCAATATTCCAGGTAAAGAAGTCACGAATGTCTATGTGTGTTTGATTATATTAAAAGAAAAAAAAAAAGAAATTCATCGCGTGTTACACGTGTATAGCAGACTAAATTTCTCAGTATAATATTTATTTAAAAACGACATATTTATCTAACACGATTTAATGTGGTGTTTGATACCATACAACACAGTCACATTACCACGCAAGATCATGACACGTGGCTGTGTGTCGTGCTTCCAAAACAATCTGCATTACACTGTGTGTTATCAATAGAAGTGATACTTTATCAATTTTCTACTTTATGTAGCTCGGAGTGTGGTAATCCCAACTATCACATATTTTCAGTGGATATGCTATACTGGACCCTTATTTCACATACCAAATTTCAAGGCAACCCATTGAGACATACACGAGATATAAAATATCCAATTTTAATTGAATTTCTTCCATTTTTACTTTATTTGATAGAAAACATACTTAACTTTTATGGATTTTTTTCAAAGTTGGTTCATTGATAGATCTTTTCAACCTACAATTAGGAACCTCATTTGGTAAATATAAGCCACACGTGCCAAGTTATTCAACGAAAACGGATCAAATATGGCTAAAATGTTTGCGCACGCCTCTGCAAAAAGTCACGTGAGCTATAGGACTGCAATTTTTATTACAGCTTCAACTAAAAGTAAAGGTGGATGGTTTTTAGATTTTTGTCATTCGGCTTAAAGACGGCTGATATAGAAAGGCAAAACCATAGGGTGAAAGCACGTGAAGATACATATGTAATGGTTAGGCCAAGCAAACTAGATTAGCAGTTTCTAGCTCAAGTTTTTCAAAAGAATCATAGAGTGGACAGTTATTATTCATTATTCATTTATACCTTTTAACCACAAGTTTGCTCAATTTTATAAAATTCTCCTACTTAAAGAGCATTTAGCTTCACGTGATATTAGCTTAAGCAATTAGCATAAATAATGTTGCTTGATATGGCACCACCAAATGCATGCGGGTGATGAAACGAAACTTTTAATCTAGTTTTCATGGCGTTACTATAAAGGAAGTTATTAACACTGTTTTAGAGAGGAAAAACTACCAAAGCTACACAAAAGGCTATCTGTGCTCTGCCCACCACAGGTATCGAAACCCGGTTTATAGCAGTATGAGTCCGCAGACATACCACTGTGGGGCATATTTTAAAGAATCTGGTTGGTTGTCTATTTTGAATAATAGGGTTGCGATCCTAAACCTAACGTGGGTTACTATCGAGTGTCGCTTTCTTACTTGCTGTAGTTTGTTGGTGTGTATTGACAAAAACTCATGACACCTAATTAAAACCACTTTAGGTGTGAAAAAAGGTGCGGCCAAAAAAGGATTGAGCGTGCGACTTAAAAGAATGAAATCAGAATTGGTGGCCAAACTTGCAGCTACACTTATAGCACTGATAAGAATTTTACCGCAAATATCCATTCATTATAGCCCAGCCGCGTTTTATGTTCAGCTTGGGGCATGAGGGTGGGTAAAACAAAATATGCAGCCTTTCTAACTTAGAACTTCAAATGATTGTCATTTTCGTCAGATGATAAACAAGTTAAAACGTTTACAGAGAAAAATATTCGGCCAAGACTGGGGTTTATTTTAAGTGGGTATTAATTAAAAGTACAAGATTTAGTTATTTTTCAAACTACGCCCATTTAAACTTCTCCTAAACTACAGGTTACAGACTGAATTAATTAATAACCCTTCACATATATTAAAAACAGGTGTATTTTATGCTGCGCTAATAAATCTTAATTACTATTATTATTACCACTCATTACGCTTTTCCATATACCTCTTTCAAATTCAGAGAGTTCGATGACGAGGTCACATAAAAGTCAAATAATTAAATTTTCTGGCAGGAATGGACCACATGTGGAACGTTAATGTCAAAACTGTTTACAATTTATAGAGGACTCCTACAAAAATACATCAGCTAAAACATGATCTAGTCTCACATAAAAAACAAAAGTGAAACGAATTATATGTGCCGTTATCCACAAACGTGTCGAACTAGGGAATTTCTTGTCTCGTTATTCTTTATATTCACCCAAACTAGATGAGGCTCACCTCAAATCTATGAAAATTAGTATGATGGCAAAAATAGTCTTTGCTAATCTTTAAAAAAAAAGTGAACTTTCGTACACGAATACCCCCACAAAAGTAGTGAGAACCGGATGTACGTGGAACGACACATGCGTCATACCTACCACGTTACGACTGCTTGCAATGGTCACCGATAAATGATATAAAGATGGGCGACGGCCTGTAAGCGGAGAGGTGATAAGGAACTGATAGTTTTATGGTAGGATATTCGAAGTCATGCGTGTTTATATAACAAAAAGTCGGCCATTGTCATATTTGTGTCAGTCAGCTTGTTTGCATACGAAACACCCAAAAATAAAATAGCTGGTATGATCCCAAACTGAAATAGATTTTTTTTCATTACAAAAGATCATTGATGACTTCAAAGTTGTTTGGGATAATTTATTCATTTTTAGAAATTGTAAACTGAATTACTGATTATTCAACATTTGGCAACAATTTGAGAACCAATACGGTTAAACATACGAACAATCACTACTTTCACAGTTGTTATGGTGTGAACACCATTTCCTGGTGCAGCTGGATTATAATCAATTATATTTGCCATATCTATCCCCATGTTTACAACAATATAGTATATATTAAATATTAGAAAGAACTATGTTTTTTAAATTCACACAAGTTTTTATCGGTTGTACATTGTAAAACTTTTGTATATTTTATTCACAACGTTTCACCAGGTTTCCTGGTATCATCAGGTGAAATACAATAATTGAGGCTAACAGAATCTAATTTAAAAAAAAAGTCGCGTGTGCATACAACTAACCAATTGAAAACAATAAAGTAATTTTTCAATGAACTGTCAAATTTAGGTATAATAAATAAAGCTTTTAGGCCTAAGTCTAAGTATTAAAATTCGTTCTATATATACAAGAGAAAAGGAAACGATTAAAATAGATATAAATGAACACCTATGTATTTGTTAAGAATAGGATTACGTTTTTTTATTAACAGAGCTTTTTGTATTTTAATGTTGTGTTCTCTGCCGAGGATTTTCCTGAAAATAATCAGAAGAATGATTGTTCCTAGACATGTGTTCAAAAACATGAAATGGAGATTCAATTATATATTTTTTGGATAGCAGTTGACCTAGTTTTTTCCAGGTAAAAATGTAAATTGTACTTTAATATTGATTTTATACTTTCTGTCTGTTTTAACAATATCTTTTTATAGTGTGAGATCAGTTTGGGATGAATGGTAAAACAGAAATAACAGGTAAATATTCGGAATAATCATTTTGTGTTAATTTTCAAAGAAAGAAATTACGTTATTAACGTAATGTGAGGGATTTATTTGAAGTTAAGCATAAAGCTACACAATAGGCTATCCGTGCGCTGTCCACCACGGGTATCGAAATCCGGTTTCTAGCGTTGTAAGTCCGCAGACATACCGCTGTGCCACTGGAGGAAGTGAGAGGGAAGTTGTTTTTTACACCAAACTGAAATCTAAGGTTTTTAGTTTCTTTTACTGAAACAATCGATGTTTGAACTAATGGTTTTATTTGTATGAACAACACCTTTAAATATATCAAGCTTTTGACATTGGTCAACAAGAGAATTCCAAGGAACACAAAGTCTAGTGCGAGTGTTCTTACGAAAAACGCAAGCTTGGAAGTCTGTGTTGTCATCGTAAAGTTTTTGTTTAAGAGTATCTGGTTTGGATGAGAGAATAACTCATAAATAACGTTAAGGTTATCGAAGGCTAGAAAAATGTCATCAACATATCGAAACAAAACAAAAAAAAACATTGGTTTATAATGTGAATTTGAGATGGCAGTGTCTTCAATTCTTACAATAATTATTTTAACAAGGACTGGAACTACAGGATTTCCCATACTTAGGGATATAATTCACTCCTTCAAACTGGAAAGTGGAAAATTTTGTGGCAGGGAGAAACAGTTTTCTTATAGTGTTGATGTTTACTATCCCCATCTCAGGTTTTTGAACACATATCAAGGAACAATCAATCTTTTCATTCTTCTCAGCTAAAAATCCTCATCAAAGAAGACAACATTAATAGACGAAAAATAAAAGACATAACCCTATTTTTCTTAACAAATACAAAGGTGTTCATTTATATCTACTTTAATCGCTCCCTTCTCTCTTATAATTCTAAGAAATTTCAGTACTTAGTCTCAGGCCTAAAAGTTTTATTTATCATACTTAACTTTGACAGTTCATTGATAATTTACTTTATTGTTTAAAGTTGGTTAGTCGTATGCTTGTAGATTACTATTGTTATTGTATTGTACTATTGTCAGTTCTTGTATTTCACGCGATGATACCAGGTAAACCTGTTGAAACGTTGTGAATAAAATAAACAAAAGGTTTACTATGTACAACTTTGTGAATATAGTATCTCGTTAAATAGGAAATTTTAAATCAACAATTTTACACAGATGATATAAACAACTTTATGTATTGTAAAGTAGAACAATACAATGTATAACACTGTAAAAAAAGTCGTATTTTAAATGTAATAAAATTTAATACACTTAAATATTATGATGTAACAACATTGTTGTTTACAGAACAACACGAGATATAACACATTTAGCCATGACGT